CTAAGGCGACTTTCTCTAATTTTGTCTGTCACAGGAGCTACACCAACCCTATCATGAATATATTCATTCCGCATTTTGTCTCTAAGTGTAAAGCCACTCATCCACCTAATCATTCTTATCTCGGCAACACTTAACTTATTATTATGCTTCTCTTTTAAAGGCCAACATTCAGCGCCATAGAGCATTGCAGGTCTCACCACCATCTTATAAAATTTTCCTTTCAGTTTTAGCGGTACTTTTCTATCACACAAAAGGCCCTAAGCATTCCTCCACTTCAACCAACCAACTTGAATTCTACTATTAACATCCCCATCTATATCACCATCGCTTTGGACAACGGACCCAAGATATCTAAATCGTTCACACCTTTTAATAATTTGATCACCCAAAGTCACACTTCTGTCACTAGAGCTATTACTACTAAAATTACATTCCATGTATTCAGTTTTAGTTCTACTTAAACGAAGGCCTTTAGACTCCAATGTAGACCTCCATAATTTAGATCACCCGAAGATATCTCAATCCTGTACAATAATGATTAGCACAAAAATAACGAATTTTGTTGCATATATAAAAAAACAATAAACCCTTAATGCAATGGATATTGGTTGCCAGAAACCCTTATGACTAAATTTGGGTATGCATAAATACATATAAAGAAGGTCATCCAGAAGAGCCCATTGGGTCAAATGACTCATCATAATCGAAGAAACTCAAAACAAAAACCAACAAACACAAAAAAAATCCAAGAAAAACATAAAAGCAATAAACAAAACACAAAGATGCATATTCTAACTCATAGTTATTAGTTAGAGATGCAAAGTTATTTTTAAAAATCATTATAGGAGCTTGTGCCTACGGGAAACCTCAAATTTCAAATCTTAAAGTCCTCACAAAATAAGGTTGAAATCTCTTAGTAATATTTTATCTACAATTTAATCTGTCTTCTAAAAATTTGACCCAAAACCTCAAGTAAACACACGCCATTTATTTTAAAGTGGTGGTCGTGATGACAATTTTTTGGAGCCACATTAAGTACTAAAATGCACCATACATTATCACAAAAAGCTAAACAACGCTAATTTCTTCCTTTAAGCACAATTGCCAACCCTCCAATATCCTCATTCCCTAAAAATTATAATTGTTCTTCCTTCAACTATAGATATTTTTTCCTCTATTAGTCAACTACTACACAAAACACAACAATGAAACCTACATTAAATTTGCAACTTTTGTTAATCTCTAACTAATAACTAGTCATAATTATATTTGGTTTAATTGAATATAATGGTGAATATTTACCTTTTTAAAATATCATAAAGTCTTAATTATATTCAGTATCGAGCAAGTTGATCCTTTCTTTTTTTGTAGTTAAAATATTTAATTTATTCCATTTTTATTGTATTAATCCAAATATTGCAAACATAAGAATTAAAAAATCTTGGAAATCTTTTACCCCATATTCATATCACATTAAAAAAATATTTATTAAATTCTATAATTTGCAAGGATTATTTTGAGATAGTATATCAGCATATATAAACTGATTTAAAATTACAAATATTTTCCTAAAATTTATTTAATGTTAATGCCCATTAGAAAAATACCACGCAGCCCTGTAGCTTGTTGAGTGGTTTTATCGAGCTCCCACTTAGCCTTTAATGAAACAATGTTTGCTAATTTAAACGGTTGTCAATAACTTAAGGTATAATATATATTTTTGTATTATTAATCATTATTAGTCACCACCAACCATCGCCCACCTCTATCAAACCCAAATTGCCAACCATTGTCAGATGTCACACACCAGTCACTACCAAGCTTCTCCCTCTATCATCAGGCACTCCCATCCACTACCACCGACCACCTAAGTTCAATGTTGTTAATGTTGTTGTCATTACCACAAGTCGTCACCACTCTCTTGGCTATCACCGCCACCACACAACAAAGGCTGCCCCACCATTGCAGTTGTTAGAGTTGTAAAGGAGCCAAGCTTGAGCGAGCTCTGGCTTGGCTCGTGTTCGGCTCGTTCGAAATTGTTCGTGTTCAAAATCAGATTGTGTTTGAAATTGGCTCGTAAACAATATGTTCGTGTTCGACTCGATTTAAATATTTTTGTCCGTGCTCGGCTCATGTTTAGCTCGAAATTGACTAGTTAAATTCATTTGAAAAAAACAAATGTAGGGTACTGAATTCGAACCTGCACCAAATTTGTGTAATATAAGGCGCACAACCACATAACCACACGAGTTTTTGAGATTTAAACATATATATAAATATATATAATATATTATTATATAAATAAAATATGTAATTTCATTATTTTGAGCAAACAAGTCAAACATGAGTGAATAAATTATTGTTTGTTTTCAACTTGTTTATAATTCGAGCTTAAGAAAATTATTCTTATTCAGCTCGTTTAAAACGAGCCGAACACGAGCAACTTAACAAGCCGAACACGAGTTGTTCACAAACAACGAGCTTTTTTGACAGCTCTAGCGGCCGTCATGTTTTACTTGAATTAATTTTCCTTCAAATCAAATATAATAGGTAATCTATTATATTTGTAATATACTTAACCAAACAACTCAAAAAGTATTTCCAATCTACATTTGCTTTTTAGTGTATTTCCTTTACTCTGCATCCTTCTTCAATAAACCAAAATGTCCCTAAGCATTTAATATATTAGACACAATCGGTGTAATAAAAAAATCATAGAAAATCATGTTTTAAAGCATATTGTACTTCAAAAGAAAGAAATTAAACAATGTAGTGCAGGTTTTTTATTTAAAAAAAAGTGAAGAAGCCATTTGGGATCACTTTTGATTTTTTTTCTTTTCATTCTTACTATTTTTTTAATGTTTTTAATTGAAATAAAACATGTTTGATATGTCACAACATGCTTATTTAAAAAAAACTCAAAACAGCTTTTAGCTTCTTCAGTATTTTTAAAAATAAACTAATCTATTTTTAAACTAACAATAAAAACAAACAAAAAATGAATTAAACAAACTAATTTTTAAAATAAAAGTATAAATCAAAACAAAAAATGAAAACAAAAGTGATCCCCATAAGACTCGCATTTACTTCAAGGGTGTAGGATAATACAGTATGCAGTCTGAGTTTGGGATGTTTCTCACCTCCACTACAGGGAATGGTATCCAAGCATGGCACGCTGTTGCTTCTAATGAATAATGCAAAAAATGAAAATATCAAAATAAAATTGCAGGATCAAGTTTTTGAAATTACATATTTTGAAACCAAATAAAGGTATGTAATGACTGAAATAGTAACTTACTGGTCATTAAGTTTGTATGAGCTCCCCACAAGGTTGCTGAAGTGAACCAAAGTAACAATTATAGAATCATGCAATTATCGGTAAGCAAGAAAAACGTCTGTAATAACTCAAATTAAAAAATCTTACACATTTCCTTCTTGGCATGTTTGATCACGACCTCCAAAAGTAAAATTGTTATAAGAAAGATCACTGCAATAGAAAATAGGGGAGAGGACTATAAAATTAAAGAATCTCAAATTTTTAGAGTTTCCAGAAATTGTGATCAAGAAATGCAAGTTGTTTTGAAGATGCTCAGAAAAATATTATCATTTCATATTAAGTATGAATCATTCAACAACATATTATTGTAAGTACTTATGTTGCAGCTGTCGAATTTATTTCCCTCTAAAATATGGGCATTTCCTGTAAATTTTGATTTTAAAATCTCGTTGCCATGTTTAGTTTTTAGCCAAAATAATTTCTAAAATCTACTGAATATAACACATATAAATTTTAGGATTACAGGTTTTTTGCATGTTAGACCAAAGTAATGAATGCATCAAGAGTTAATTATTTGTTTTATTGCATTTTCCATTAAATACTTTTAGTATTTTTTTTATAAAACATCAAATCACAAACATCATCTTGCATCAGTAGGCCTAAAAGAGCACCAGATATTTTTGCGGCCGGCATAGCCCAGTGATAAATGAATGAACTAATCTTATCTCCCAAATGAATGCACTAACATTTAGTAAATAAGCTCCTCGTGACATCATAATTTAAATAAAATAAAAGGACCATGAAAATTGGCAATAATTTCCATTAAAAGAAAAAATAGTGAGTGTCAAATTTGTGGAAATATAAGAAGATTTGATTTTTTTTCCATATTTACCTCTCTCATATAGGCCCGGCTACCCCCTTCAAATCTTAGAGGATTTAACTGGAAAATATCTTAAGAAACATTTGATTAGTTTATTCTCTCCATATTTTGTGTCTTTCTACTTTTCATTCAGAATTATTTTCCTTCCTAATTTAGGTGAGATATGTTTGGTAAGGTTATAAATAAAGAGAGATTGATTTCCCTATATATAAATACTATGTTTGGTAAGGTTATAAATAAAGAGAGATTGATTTCCCTATATATATATATATATACTCTATTTGCAAATAATGCAAAGAAGTAATTTTCTTCCCCAAGTAATTTCTTTAAAATTTAATATAACAATCATCAAGAATTTGGAAATACAATTATACATATTGTTTTTGCTGGTCTGCATCCAGTCAGGAACAGGGCCAGAGAGATTATTGTTGGTTAGAAATCTGCAAAACAAAAAAGTCATTAACTGAGAAAAAATTTATCACAAAACTCATGAAGCCTGTAAATTTTAACAATTAAGATGGCTTACATAAAGTTGGTATGAATCAAACTATTAAAGGATGATGGAATTGGCCCAGATAACATGTTGAACGTCAGATCCCTGTCATAAAAATAGCAAAAGAACATACAACAATAACAACAACAACAAGCCTTCATCCCACTAAATAGGGTCGGCTACATAAATCATTTTTCTCTATTGAAAACATAAATTTCACACAGTGACAAATCTCATTACTAGTGCTATTATTTGAGCTTGAGCAAATTATCAAAAAAAATGAATTATAGATGGCATAATATTTCCAACGCCATTGAAGACTAAACCCAAAACTTGAAATTTTGCCAAAGGGTGTTTTAATGTTTCAATGACAATGGTTTTCCTCTCACCTGCCTTCTTCTAGCTTCCATCTCAAACACTTGCCACAACCAATTTAGAAATGACCAACCCCCCAACCATGACCATTGACACATCACTATTCAGTACTAATGGAGTAATTTTAAGATAGTTAAAAACTGGGTTGGTAGGGAGGTTTAATAACTGAAAATTTTATCTTAATGGCTCAATATGAAATCAAAAGTATACAAGACATTTCTAATCCCAATTTTAGGCCACCATTGGCACAAGCTTGATTAGACACATTTCCAATCCCAAAGTGGCAGCAAAATAAAGGCCCAGAGCCAAAATTATGATTAAAAGAAGGCACAATTTGCACTTAGTTTTCTTTATTATTATTATTATTATTATTTGGCATCAAGATAAAATGAGATTTTTAAGTTCAACAATATAAGTGTTGAATTCAGCCATATAATCATGAGGCCATGTAAAGAGGATCAGGGAAAACTCATAATGAAAATAAAAAATTTGCTAAAATAATAAAGTACCATGAGAATTGATTTTGTTTGCATCAAGAAAAAATACATCAAACAAATCTTGAAGTTATTAAAGCTATATATGATCGAGCATCCATCACATTGGGAGTTATGGGTGACCAAAGAATTCATCAGACGACCCACCAATCTCTAAAATCTCTCACAATAAACTGGCTCTCCTGCCTCTGCACTCAGCTTGGTCTTCGATCAATTAGATAAACTACATGCTTGCATCTCAGCATGCATATTTCTACGAGAAGCTCTAGTACATATCTTCTCTGAGATAAGACGATTCCCTCTAATCCAAGAGTCGCCTCAATTCCAAGAAAGTATCAGAGCTGTCCAAGGTCATTCACTTCAAAATCTTTGCCCAATCTAACATTTAGTTGAGCAATCGTTGTCTCATCATCACCAGTCATAATCATATCATCAACATACACAGCAGGCATAGTAACGTAACCACCATTTTGACGAAAAAACACTATATGGTTAACATTGATTTGTTGATATCTCATGCCCCCACCATAGCTTTTCTAAACTTCTCAAACCAAATTCGAGAAGATTGTTTCAAGCCATAAAGCGACTTATGAGCCTACACACCTTGCCCATTGCCTGACCTGTACTGAATCCAGGTGGTATGTCCATATAAACCCCCTCTAAAAACTCATCATGAAAAAAAACATTATTCACATCGATTTGGTGTAGCCTCCACACATCATTCACAGCCAGAGAAACCAGTATTCTCATTGTGCTCAACTTCACTATCGGTGTAAAGGACTTGTCGAAGTCAATGTCTTGTCTGAATGTACCCTTTCTCCACTAATCGTGTCTTGTAACGCTCCACTTTCCCTTCTAGATTTTGTTTTACTATGAAGATCCACCTGCACTTAATTATTTTTTCCCCTCTTGTAATGGTACTATCTCCCACGTCTTGTTCTTATTGAGGGCAGCAAGTTCCTCCAGCTTGGCAGCCTTCCACTTGGATCCTTCTTAGCTACGTGCCAACAGGTGAATATAAATACACTGTCATAAGTGCAATAAATGCTTTGTTTACAGATGATATCTTAGAATATAAGATAGACTGAGCAATGTCGTGTGATAAATCAAAACAAGAGAATAACGATTAGAACAACCCGCATTGTTGCGAGAGGTCATCCTTAAAACCGTGAGAGCAGGAGGAGAAGGGAAAGGAATCATATCAACTGGATAATCAAATTATGAAGTGAAAGGTGTAGGTATTTCAGGAGTTGGGGTAGAACAGGACAAGGAATTTGATGACACGAGTGCCACGGCAAGCACTATTCCAAGACTTGATAGCATGAGAGGCACGATAAGCACAGTTCCCTCATCCTATTTTTTCCTCCTATACACTTTCAGCTCTCTTTGAGCTTGAATCCCTCCACCTTCAGGCTCATTTTCCTCATTTTTTGGTTTTTTTCTCATCTGATCTTTCCCACATGCACCAATCCCTAACCATCATTACTCTCCACCTCACGCCTTATATCTCCAGTATCTTAGGAGTTACAAAAGTGTGAGATCACCTCCAAAGTGTAGACTTGTCGAAGTCAATGTCTTTGTTGGCATCATTTTTTTTTTTTTGATGTCATGTGTGTCCAGGACGTCGATATTACTTAACGAGGGCGTCCACGTCGTTAAAGATTCGACTATGGGTAGGGCTGTCAAAAAAGCTCGTTGTTCG